TAAGTTTGAACTCGACCTTCCATGGTTTTGAGAACGAACGGGGAACGATGAGTTCAACTCAAAATACTGTTCCATCACAATATTTACCTTTAACCATACCATTTCGATTCCAAACCAGAATATACCGACATCGGTTCAGGCAACTGAACCACGGTATACCCTGACCACCAGCACGGTTAAGGTCACAGTCATTTCACAAGCATTTTATGAGAAGTACAAATGGGGACAGTTGCAACCTACCAAAACATCCATTGGTCTCGCCGATAATTCGATTTATTTTAAGGCCATTGGTAAAGTGAATGTATTATATACGGTTGGTAGTCTTACCCGACTTGTGCCAACTCTTGTAGTGCCTATCTCACTGAAACACCCAATTATGCGACGGACATTCCTTGAGGCCTTCTTTTTCGAACTGGTGCAGAACCAAGAGTAAGTTCAACGATTTTTAAAACATACAGCCAAAGGTGATACTGAAGAAGTTGCATCCGCTAAAGCCGAAATGGTTACGACGGATAAATTTATTAATTTTTGTAACCAGCCACCAGGGAGTATGAGAGAACAAGCTCAGGTATCTTCTATGAGTAATGATCTGGAGCCAATTGACGCTTCTACACTCGGTTTATAGGGTGAACTGGATACCCCAAAAATAACGAGCGTCAGCCTTCCACATAATCTCACCCCAGATCAAAGACAAATGTTGGACGCCGTTCTCAGACTTTTTAATCCAACTCCTGAGTCTGGTCCTTTAAATATCACTAATCAGGTCGAACACGTAATTGATACGGGTGATGCAAAACCCGTCATGAAACGCCAGTATCCAGTATCGCCATATGTGGCTGAACAAGTTCAAGCCGATTTGGATAAAAGGCGTAGTCGCGACATCATTATGACCATCAAAGAAAGCCCTTGGCGGTCACCAATTCTGGCTGTAAAGAAGAAAGACGGAACGTGTCGCGTATGCTTGGACGCGAGAGAGCTGAATAAAATTACCATTCCAAAT